TAGCTTTTAAAAAGATATTAATTCTCAGAGCATTTCTTTATATGCATGTTTTTCATCTCATACTCCTCATGCAGTAATTTGAGAAGTGCTATTATGTATGTCTTACATAAAAGGGGTGAAGACTTACAGCACCTAAGTGACTTTCCTGAAAGCATACAGTTGAGAAATAGTTGAACTGTTATTTGAATCCAAACCCAGAATATTTACTTTTAGGTTGATGTCATTTCTGTCTCACAGTACTGTCATTAAAGAACAGACAGAAAGGAATCTGTAAGTGGTATCTCCTCAAGGCTTGAATTTGCCATTTGTGCAGAGGCTTCCACCGATGTTGAACATCTTTGTGTGTTTATCAGCCGCTTTTACATCTTTGGAAAAAAAATCACTTGCCTATTTTTTTTTTTCATTAAAGAGTATTTTTAGTGTCCTGTGGTACTTTGTAAAAATTACATGATCCGGTAGTTTCTGTTTTCAACTTCATTTAATTGTCATAGTAACCAGTTTACCAGACTTCCTTCATTTTTCTTTTCCTTCTTCCCCTCCCGTCACCTCTCCTCTCCTCTCCTCCCCTCCCCTTCCTTTTCTTTTTCCTTCCTTCCTTCCTTCCTTCCTTCCTTCCTTCCTTCCTTCCTTCCTTCCTTCCTTCCTTCCTTCCATCCATCCATCCATCCATCCATCCATCCATCCTTTTCTGTTTTTGATATCATAGCAGTGACACACAAATTTCACATGGAGCAAAGAAGAAATTATTAGAAGTCTTATAGTAATTCATAAGGTTGGGGCAGGTATACACAACAAGCATATTGGATTGATGCGGTTCCTTCACTTAAGGGAAGAAGCAGTTTTTCCCTGAATAAAGAAATAAAAATAATCTGAAATGTGTGAATGTTTACTATGGTCATTAGGGTGCTGTTTTGTAGCACCTGCAGTTTTCTTATCAGAATGCTCAGGTTTGAATTCTGACTCTCTTCCTCTTTCTAGCTTCCTGCTAATGCACATCCTAAGAGGCAGTGTTGTTGGCTGAATACTTGGCTATCTGCCAATCTAGTAAGGGGAGACCTGGATTGAGTTTCAAGTTGTTGGCTTAGCTATTGCATCCACTTGAGGAGTGAATCAGTAAGATGGAAGATGTGTGAGTGGTTGATGTATCTGTCGCTCTGCCCTGCCTCATCCCTGCCAAATAAGTTTAAGGAAAAAGTAGTGATTATTTTCTCAAATTGATTCTTGTGAGCTGATAAACTGTAAAGTAATAAAACTAGGGGGGTTGGGAAAAGGATTTTCTGTACAGATTATAAGATGTTGTGTCAGCTATCTAATGGTAGGGGGAAAATGGATAGGCAATGGAGTGATCAGGAGATCAAGTGAGAATAGGGTGGAGGAAAGTGAGGTAAAGAGGTCATTTCAGGCTCAGTTTTCTTATGACCTCATTAGGTTTGGGGGTAATTTTGACTGCCTTGGAAAATTGTCAGTGTATCTTGTATTTGTTTCATTTCTTTTGTTCTCAGGTGTTACACATTAATCTGCTTTTTAAAAACAAAGGGTATATCCAGTTTGTACTGGTTTTATTTTGGACTTGCCATTCTTTTAAAATTTTTTACATTATCATTTTTTTATGAAAGTTTTGTAGGTATAGGGATTCCTGCCCCCCTCCTTTTTTCATCATTATGTATAAGTAGTTGTTATCTCTCTCTCTGGCTCTCTTGCTCTATTTCTCTCTCATACATGATTAATTAGACATGGGAGAAAACCAGTATTCCTGACATTCTAAAAGGATTTTATCTTTTGCTTTAGTACTGTCATATATGGAACAAAATCATATGATATATTATAGTCAGCACCGAATGTATGATAAACTGTGTTTAGGACAGCTGGAGAAGAGCCAGCGTGATGGCTGTTAAACACCAGCGTCACATTTGGGTGCCTGTTTGGGTCCTGGCTGCTCCAAGTTTGATCCAGCTCTCTGCTTTATGCTCTGGGAAAGCAATGGAGAATTGCCAAAATCTTTGGGAACCTGCACTCATGTGGGAAATCCTGAAGAAGCTCCTGGCTGCTGGAATAAACTAGTATTTGTAAGAATTTGATTAAAAACCATTCAAATGAAAAGTTTATACATATATATATGTGTGTGTGTGTGTGTGTGTATCTATATCTATCTATCTAAATTTATTTATTTGAAAGGCAATTTTTGACACAGAACGAGGTCTTCCATTCACTGGTTCACTTTGCAAATGGCCACAGTGGCCAGAGTTGAGCTCATTCGAAGCCAGGAACCAGGAGATGTTCCTGGCTCCCACGTGAATATGGGGCATCCTCTGTTGCTTTCCCAAGCACACACAGATAACTAGATGGTGAGTGAAGTAGCTGGGACTAGAACCAGTGCCTAAATGGGATGCTAGCATTTGCAGTTGAAGGATTAGCCTGATATTCCACTGTGTTAGCTCTCAGAAAATTTATATTCTGATGTTATTAGAAAGGGATAATAGAGGTTAGCATCTGACTTAGTTGAACCACTGCCTGCATAGCCAGCACATTCCGCATTGAAGCACTGGTTCAAGTGATTCCTGGTTATTCCTTCCATTTCCTACACAGCTCCTTGTTAAAGACTGGGAAAACAGCAGAAGATGGTTCATATCCTTGGACTCCTGCACTCAAGTGGGAAATCTCCATGGAATTTTAGGTTGCAGCTTGGGCCTAGCTCAGTCGTGGCTTTAGGGGCTGTTTTGAGAATGAATGAGTGGATGGAAGAATCTTCTCTCTCTTTCTCTCTCTCTCTCTCTCTCTCTCTCTCTCTCTCTCTGTCTATCATTCTGCTTTATAAAGAAATAATAACTTTTTTAAAAATTATTTTTTATTTTTCATCATGTAGTTCCTTAGACTCATGGATTTCCCCTTTCGCTTTCCTGCTCCCTTGTCTCCCACCCTCTTCCCTAGTTGTTTTCCTTTGTTATAACAACAGTAGAATCCTTCGACAATAGTTGCAAGTCTACCATTCTTCCGTTTAAGTGTATCATGGCATTGTAGGTACAGACAGTTGTACAAAGTCCAGCATCCTATTGTCAAGAAAGAAATGAGGTCTTTTAGAAAAATGTGGGAGGTTTTATAGCCATTGGCTCACATAATCTGGTTAGGAAATCGGATCAGGGGAAATGTTAATAATACAGAAATGCCTGGGTATCATTTTGTACTCTCACACATCAGTCTTTAGAATCTTCTGCCCCAGGTTTCCCGCCAAGAATCAACTAACTGTAAGTGTGCTGTTCTCATTGCTGTATTTGTGCCAGGACTTTTCTTCCCTTAATTAGCAGAGAGCAATAAATTTCAATTTCTGGTAAAAAAATGACAAATAGTAGAGTTTAAAATGTTATTTGTTGTTTTAAGAATGTGTTTTTGTTATCTTTACTAAGAAACTGCTTTTGGAGGAGGAGAAAGGAAAGCTAGAAGGATTTTATTTTTAATTAATGCTTGATCAAGTGTATTTAGAGCTACTGATAAAACCTGGAAATATGCAAGTATGTTCCTGTCATGTGTTTTATAGTTGGCCGAGTGAGGGCACTGAAAAGGTGATTTAGCCTTTGCCTTCCCTACCCCCTTACAAATCAGAGAAGGTCAGAATGTGCTGCAAGTGCTGATTTCTGTTGGGTTAACTCTCCTCGTGCTCCTGACAGAAGGTTAAGGCTGTCTTCTTACCTTCTTTATGTGCTATTTACTCAGAACTCACTCACAGACTTCTTGTGTTTGTTTTAGTTAATTTGTTTTTAGGTACATCGAAGGCTGCCTTCTAGTATATTATGGCTGAGTGCCTACAGCCGTATTCACGTCTCTGTTCGATTGGTGGTTTAAATCAGAGTACATTGATGCCTGTGTGCCTTAAAGTACAGCTTAGATTTTTCTGTGTTCCGCTTGCCTGTGATGAAAGTCTTCTACTACTTAATCCCATCTCTGAGATCCAAGTTGGTTTTTTTTTTTTTTCTGATGATATGTAGAGTCTGTTAATACTTCTTTTTTTTTTTAATACATATATATTGCATTATATGTGATACAGTTTCATAGGCTCTGGGATTCCTGAGTCTTTTAATACTTCTGCACTTTTGGTGTTTTCTTCTTTCCGTTTTTGTTTCTGTTAGATACTTGCACTTAACTGCCCTAAAATCCTTGGTTTGGTCCTATCTTATACTGTTGTCTCTGTTGTTTGGATAGTTCATATTATGGAAACTTTTAAAATTCTTTCAAAATAACTTAAGCTTGCAGGTTACTTTTGACGTCATGCTTCAGCATCTTCTCAGGGAAGTCTCCAAGAGGTTAGGTTTGCTCTTCAGCTCCCTTCTCTTTAACGAGCTTTGCTCTTTCTCTGCTTGTGCTTAGACACTCAGTGGCTCTTCATCGCCTTGGTGCACATGAGCTTTTCAAGAATTATAAGATGCAGTTATCTGTACAGCTTAAAGTTTTATTTTTTTAAGGACAAGAACAAGCATTAATTTCCCTCCTTTTATATTTACAGTATAAAAGTTGCACTGTTGCTCACTAAGGTGCCACAGTTAATAAGATGTTCAGATATCATGCTTGGCTACCATCTAGACCTATAACAAAGATCTTTGTTATGCGTTCTTATGTTTTTAACCTCTGCTTCAAGCATTATTTCAGATTGCTCTTAATTAGCTTTTTTTTTTTTTTTTTAAAGATTTATTTTTATTATTTTTTTCATTGGAAAGGCGGATATACAGAGAGGAGAGACAGAGAGGAAGATCTTCTGTCCGATGATTCACTCCCCAAGTGAGCGCAACGGGCCGATACTATGCCGATCCGAAGCCAGGAGCCTCTTCCGGGTCTCCCATGCGGGTGCAGGGTCCCAAAGCTTTGGGCCGTCCTCGACTGCTTTCCCAGGCCACAGGCAGGGAGCTGGAAGGGAAGCGGGGCTGCCGGGATTAGAACCGGCGCCCATATGGGATCCCGGGCGTGCTAGGCGAGGACTTAACCACTTGCGCCACCGCGCCGGGCCCCTCTTAATTAGCTTTTGCAATAAAGATTGCAGTATAGTCTCTACATAAGTCTCTTCTACCTCACTTTCTCCATAAGAAATTTTATTATTGTCTTTTAAAGTATAAAATGATTTTAACTCTTTTTCAGGGCTTCTTTTAAGAAATCATCTTCACTTTGTGAACACATAGTTGTAAGGATTATTCAATTGTTTATCTCCCCACCACAGAACAGTTTTTTGATGCAAAAAAAAATCAAAAGAATTCTGATTTGTTTAAATTCTTATGCAATGTGAATTCCAAATTTTCCAAATACTGTGGACTGTGTATTTGTGCATCTGTCTTGACACGCATGATGACTTTTGATACTTTGAATTAACCATTTGGGGTGTGTGTGTGTGTTTATGTATCTTAATAGGGTTATGAAGGAACTGAGTTTTTTACTGACTATATTCTTGGCACTTGTGAAAGTTACTGTAGTCAAAATCTGTGCTAATGTGCATTTAGGCTTGTCATGTGTGTTTTAGGAGAGGAATATATAGGGTACTGAAGAGTCTGAATAAATGTACAGGATCCAGGATTCATATTCTGATGAAGAATAATATGGAAATTGTTAGTATTCTTCTATGGCTTAATGTCTTTGTCAGTATGCTATTGGAAAATGTCATTGAATTTGAAATCATACCAGAAGGAAGATGGATCACTAAATTAGTTCAGATTTGCTAAAAGGAAATAATCAACAACACTGGTACCTGGGGAAGAAAGTCCTCAAGTATGAGTGGATTTCTTGATTTAGGCTAGATTTGCTGTTGTTTTGTAGTGGCAACAAGACAATTTTCTAAACCTTTCTTTTCTAAAGCATTCACTTGAAAGGTACAGTTAGAGAGGAGGAGACAGCAGTAGTGCTAACACTAACATTCTCTGGTTTGTTACTCACATGCCAGAGCCGGGCCAGGCTGAAGCCAGGAGCTAGGACCTTCTTTGAATCTCTCTGGTGGGTGCAGGGACCCAAGCACTTGTAGTACCTTCTGCTGTTTCTCAGGCACGTGGATTGGAAGTGAATCAGCAGGGACCTGAACCCTGCCTATATGGGATGCTGGCTCAACAGGTTTTGGCTTACCCTTCTGTGCCAGAATAAAGGCCCCCTTTTTAAAGCTTTTTAAATGTTTAGATCGTATAAAACTAAGGTTCCCATTAAAAGGAAATGTTTTGAAGATACATGGTATGCACATTTTTTTTGTTACTCAAATTTATTTCAAAAAAAGAAGAGTTTGCTTTTTGAAGACATTTTAAAAGTGTTTTTGGATAAGTTTTATTTATGATACTGCAGTAGTAACAACAATTGCAGTAGTTTTGCAACTTCATTACCTATTATTTTATACCTGTCTGCTCTCTCCTTTATGTGACAAGTTAATTCCTCAAGCAAAAACTACCCCAAATAAAATGATGAGCTATGAAAAAGCTCCCTTTTTATTGGTGAATTGCATAATCTGTGTATGTGAATCTGTGATGAGGTCTTAAGTATTAACTTCTACAAATTAACCTATTATTTTCACAAGAGCATGATGAAATTGAGGCGCAGGACGTTATTAACCTGACACTTCTGTGTTCAGTAAACCGAACACATTGGAAGACAGAAAAGTACAGTAGACAATAAAAGGAAGGTGGGTATTTTGGCCACAAAGTAGATTGAACTAACTATTGGAATGTTTAGTTAACTAAATAATTTCTTAAGTTTTAATACATTATTGCACATTAAATACATAATAATATATTAAAAACTAAATAAGTAACTAGCTTTTAATACATTAAAATTGAATATAATTTTTATGAATCTTTTGTGTCTTGTTGAACCAACTAGTTCTTTACCTTACTTACTTTTTGTCTCTCCTTCAGGTAGAGAAATTAGGTGTTACCTCTTTGTGTTTTTTTCATTTTGGATACACGTAGGAATAATTCTCAAGCCTTTGCCACAGTGAGAGTTAATCATGGTGATGGAAGCTAAAATGTTGTTTCATGCTAATTTTACAGTGTGTATATACTGTAGAAGTTAGACAAAGGGACTAAGTTAAACAAAGATCCAGAGCTACTGCCAAACCTAAAAACAACAATGGCACAAAGAAAAGAACAGAATGCAGGGTCCAAAGCCAACAAAATCCAAATGTAAATTTGCTAGTTGACAGGCATTACATGTAAATGGTCTTATTTTGGCAACTCTTAGAGTTAAGAATACCAAAAGATATCACTTATACAAAAGCAAAAGTAATTGGAATTTTTTATAAAGAAAATGGTCTTTTGAAATTTACAGTAGCCATTTAGTTAATATGAATAATGTTTCATTTCACTTTTGTTAAAATTCGTTTATTGTTTACTTGATCACAATACTAGTGTACTGTCTTTCTTCATATTTATGAAAGTTGTTTTGGGTGACATAGAAGACATGACCATTACATCAAAAGCTTACTGAATACATTTTTTTCTAAACCTTGATTTAGGGCCCATCATTAGAATCATTCTTAGTATGCTTATAGCATCTTTCAAATTGTGAATATAGTTTCTACTTTCAGCCAATATGTGATCATTTACTTGATGCAATTACTAAGATACCCTTTCAGTGTTTTTCATGGGAGAAAATAAAGCAGACCCTTTGCTTGTTGTGAGACTGGCTAAACTGTGTGGCCATAGGTAAAGGGAAACAAAGGAGCCAGGCTTTCAGCATAAAGGAAGAAGTGTAGCTCAGTGCTGCCTGGAGCTGGCGGAGCAAACGGCTTCTCCCTGCAGCGAGCGTTCCCAAGCAAGGAAAGTGATGGACAACTGGGAGAGGCAAAGAATCAGCACCCAGGTGCTTTCCTCAGCTTCTCAGAATTTTAATGAAGTACTCAGTAGGGTCAAAGATCATGTCTGCTAAAGTGAAGGGAAAATCTGAAGACCTAGCAAAGGCAGACAAGGCTTGTTAGGAAAGAAATGAAAACCTCTATCTCTCCTTGAAAGGAAACAAAATGGAGTTTTGAGGATCCCAGAGCACTCAAATGGCTGTTTTGACCTTTTTCTTGTTCTGTTCTGAATGTCATCCCAAAAATCAAAGAACATGCTACCATCATTGGTAATGTTACTTTCCAAAAACCTGGAAGTGGGGCCAGTGCCACGACTCAACAGACTAAACCTCTACCTTCAAATACTGGCATCCCATATGGACATCCCAGGTTGTGTCCCTGCTGTTCCACTTCTGACCCGACCCGCTGCTGGGAAAGCAACAGAAGATGGCCTGAGTCCTTGAGTCCCTGCTAGCCCTACTGCCTCCTGCCTTCGGATCTGCCCAGCCCCAGCTGTTGCAGCCATTTGGGGAGTGAACCAGCTTATAGAAGATCTGTCTCTCCGCATGTCTCCTTTTCTTTGTAAATCTGCCTTTCAAATAAAAATAAATCGTTAAAAATAATCATGTACAAAAAACTGGGAGAGTTGTGAAATAACTGCTACAGCCGATAAGCATTCCTGATGAAAAGAATGAAGCTGAGCTGAAGGAAAAATATCAAAAAAATATCAAAAGAATACAGCTGGATCCCGAACTAAAGCCAAGCAGCTAAAGAGGGAATCATCCAGGCTGAAAGAGCAAGAAGGAAGATGAAAGGATAATGAAGATGAAAATGGTGATGAGAAACAAGTTGGTTCTTGCACAGTTTTTTCTTGTTTGTAAAGCATTTAATCTCCTGTACACAATTTAATTTTTTCAGAGAACAAATTGGGATGCTAAAAAATAAGTAAAGGAATGACAACGGAATATTTGTTTACAAGATAATGGCTAAAGGAAATGTATATTCTTGTTTTATTCAAAATATAGAATTTCTTCTGAATAATATTAGTTTTGCCTCACTAGATACAATTTTTAAAAAATATCTATTATTATTATTTTTTAATTGCAAAGTCAGATATACAGAGAGGAGGAGAGACACAGATCTTGCATCCGATGATTCACTCCCCAAGTGACTGCAATGGCTGGAACTGTGCTGCTGATCCAAAGCCAGGAGGCAGGAGCCACGAGCTCTTCTGGTCTCCCATGCGGGTACAGGGTCCCCCACCTGGGTGCAGAGTCCTAAGGCTTTAGGCCATCCTCCACTGCTTTTCTAGGGCACAAGCAGGTAGTTGGATGGGAAGCAAGGCCACCATGATTAAAACTGTTGCCCATATGGGATCCAGGAGTGGTCAAAACAAGGACTTTAGCCACTAGGCTACTACACTGGATCCACTTTTGATTGTGACTCAAATATAGGAGATATACTCTCTTAATTTATTTTAAAACATTAAACTAGTTTTTATTTATTTGATGTGGAGAGACATAGACCCTCTATATGCTGATTTACTCCCTAAATGCTAACAACTGTTGGGGCTGGACAGGAGCTAGAGCTAGGAGTTGGAAATATAATTCATGTCTGTTGCGTGGGAGTAGGAACTCTGACTTGACATTATTGCTGCCTCGTAGCTTCTGCGTTGGCTGAAAACTGGAATCAGAAATGGGAGCTAGGAATCAGGCATTCTGATTTGAGATGTGACTTTAACTGTGAGGCCAATTGACTACTCCTTAGAACTTGTTAAGTGGCTGTACAGTATTGTTAAATATAATACATCTTGCACAGCACATTGCTGAAGCTGTCTGCTTTTTCAAGACTGATAGTTAACGTCCAGTGAACCACAGCTTCTGGTCATTGAGGTCATTTCCATATCTCCGCTGCTGTGAATCATGGAAGCACAAATATCTGTTTGAAATACATTAGAGACATATCTAGAACTGAGGTTATGGCTGATAGAGTAGTTCTGTTTGTAATTTTCAGAAGAAAGTCTATACAGTTTTGCACAGAAATCATAACATTTAATTTTCCTGTTACCAGTACCTAAGAGTTTATTTCTCCACACCCCTGCTTACCCGTTATTTTCTGTTATGTCCACCCTAATAGATGCGAGGGTATGCAGTTTTCATTTCCATTTACTTGATGATTAGTGAATTCAGCCTTCTTTTTTTGTGTTGGCCGTGTGTAGAGATAAGATTCTTACTTCATGGAAAATATTATTTTAACCGATTAAATGCTAGTCAAGTAAAAGATTGTGAATCTTGAAGCATTTGTGATTAAGTTTTATTGCACACAACTGAGAACACATATTTAAATAATTCTAATGAAAATATATAGTGTCGGTAAGAATATCCAGTGCTTAACTTTGTTTGGAATTGATTTTTAAAAAAAACTTATTTTCAGGATCTAGCATTTAGCTGAGAGGTAAGATGCTTGTGAACATTAGTACCTGGCTGCTGTCTGATTTCAGCTGCCTGCCAGTGCTGACCCTAGGAGGCAGCTCTGCTGCATAGATCAGGTAATTAGGTTTCAGGTTTCTGCTGCCATCTGCTGTCTGGTCAGCCTGAGCCAGTCCTGGCTGTTGCACTTGTTTGGGGGTGTGGACTAGTTAGTGATGGAGGACTTAATTATTGAAAGTCACATACAGAGAGAGAAAGAAAATAACCCATCTACTGGTTCATTTCCCAGATGGTTGAATGACCAGGAGCCAAAAGATTTTTTTTTTAGGTGTCCCATATGAGTGTTAAGGGTCCAAACACTTTGGCCACTTTCTCCTATTTTTCCCAGGTTAATAGCAAGGATTAGATTAGAAATGGAACACCAGGACACAAAGCAGTACACATGTGAGATGTCAGCCTTGCACTCAGCAGCTTTACCCACTGCGCCACAGTGTGCCCTTCCTCTTATTTTTCAAACATTATAAATAACACAGTCTTACTTCAAAAAATTTAAAAAACACTTTAAAGGAAAAATGTACTAGTTCTGCTTTTTAAAAAATACAGCCAAACATTTTCCCCCTAAAGATTTATATAAAATAGGGCCCGGCACCGTGGCCTAGCAGCTAAAGTCCTTACCTTGAACGTGCCAGGATCCCATATGGGTGTTGGTTCTAATTCTGG